ATGTGGATGAATTTACACTATCCTTATAACTATTAGAGGTGCTTAATTTAAAGGATTAGATGATGCCTGAGATTGGTGCCTAGGGGCCAATATATCAGGGATAATCTTATCTTTGGGATTACAATCTATTAAATCATTTATAAGTACTCAATATATTTGTGAAGTGATTCCGTTAGAAATTTGAAGTAAGATAGTGAGATGTCATGAGTTAAAGGAAGAATTGACCTCATTTATTATGTGTGTTTTTGTTTGTGTTACAATAATATATAGGACTTAAAGAACATTTTTATATTCCGATGCTGATACATGTTATGCTAGTTAGACCATTGTTTAGTTAATTTCATTCTGGCATGTTTAGTTTAGATCTACTTTCTACTACATGTTTTTTGTCCTGATAAATAATTGTAAATGTTTTTGATAGACATTTGTGGTAGATAAAATTTCTAAACTGTTTCTCTTCCTACTTATATTTTCTTGCACTAAATGTTATACATGTTAAAAATCAAGTTTGGGGGTAGGAAGAAAAACAGTTTTTAAAGCTAAGTATACCTCCTTTTAGTTTATTATTATTACAAGCATGTTTTAGGCTAGGTTTACATGCTCCTGTAGTCATTCTATCCTGATTATTATTGTATATGAATTTGATAGGATGTTGTAGTAGCTAGCAGATTCAATTATTTTTCTTTCGTGTTACATGTTATGGAATTTAGGGCTGTCAATTTGGCTCGTTGTTTGTGAACAGCTCATGTTCGGGTTGTTAAGCAGCTCATGCTCGGCTAGTTCGTTAAGCCTAACGAGTCAAACACGAACAAATTTTTAAGCTCAAAATGTAAACGAGCCAAACACAAAGAATAGTTTGTTCACTCGTGTTAGGCTCGAAATGGCTAAAAAAAATTATATAACTTTTTATATAACATTATATTACATATATTATTTATATAATAATATATTATATATATTTATGTCTAAGTTTAAATCATAACACCTCATGTGGCAATGTGATTAGTGTCTTCTTTTGTATATATATGATATATGTTTGAATCCCACATTTTACATTTTTTTTTCTCAATTTTAATTTAACGAGCCAATTTCGAGCAGAACACAAATATTTAAATCGAGCCGAACACGAACACACTGTTCACGAGCCGATTTCGAACACGAGCTATTTCGAATGAGCCGAACACGAGCCAAGTCTGAGCTCGCTCAAGCTCAGCTCGTTTACAACCCTAATTGAGCGATATAATTATTAAATAAATAGAAATTGTTTGGAATTGTTATCCTTGTAAATGCTCCACACGCACACACACATGCACAATCATAAAAGAAGATCTAACAGCACAATGAGGAGACGACGTGTCCAAGGAGCACCCACCGACAGAAGGCTTAAGGACCCATGCCTTAGACAGGAAACACCAAAATCTTGATCAAACAATGCAGTTAATTGGCCCGAACCTGAATTGTTCGATTTATCGTTCAGTACAGAAGAATTTACGAACATCTCTGCGAAGGAACTGACTCAAGTGGAAAAGTTGACAAAGCTAGTCCCTCGTGTCTCATAATTCCTTTAGAGAGATTCAACAGGCTTTCAGAATGCCCTTGAGAATCAATAAGGCAAATCTCAACTATCTCATGGAATCTCTTCATCTAAGTGTGGCTATATATCAGATTATGACAACACACTCTCTACCAGATAGTTTAACTCCACCTAGCCGATAGGAGCCCTTGAACATGGATTGAAGGTCGATGGGCAGGCATGATCAACTAATCGGCTCCACTTAGTCAACCGAGGTAAACTCACCAACCTTTCATCGGTAAGAATCCTACCAATTGACGGTCGATCGGTTGCCACCATGCGGGGCCAGTAGACTTGCCTCTCTTGTTTAGCCAACTCACAATGTCTTTTATATGATTTGTCACTCAAGCAAACTGAGCCTTAAATGCACTAGGCATGTAAAATAGAAGTAATAACTTATACAACATTCAATAAAGGAGGGGCATATATATAAATTCACGCATGGTAGTCTTTTTGTCTATATACAGAGACACATTTCATGAATAAAATATTACACACTCTTTATAAATTATTGTTCATTTATTTTTGTCTCTCTCGCGCGCTCTCTCTCATGTCTTACGCTCTATTTAGGGTTGTAAATGAACCAATGCACTCGATGAATAACTTGAACTCAACTTAATTATAGTTATTTCATGTTTGTTTAAACCAATAAATAAACAAATTTGAACAATATTTAAAAGCTCAAAGCTTAAAAAAACTAAACGTTATCATAATCGGACTTGTTTGTTTATGTTCACATAAAATTGGTTGTCGTTCAACGAGTAACTTATTAAATGCTCGAAATTAAACTCTATGATAACTCATATTATATATATGATATGTTATTTTAAAAAAACTTAAATAGTTGGAATTTATTTAATTACAGATTTAATATTAATAAATTATTTTATCAATAATATTTTTATTTTAATTATTAATTATGTATCTATTTTATTGATAAGTGAATGGTAATTTACAATGAGATATTTATATTTAAAGAGAGTGTTATAAAAGATTTTTCTCTTAGAGTTTTCATAAACTTAAAAATAATGAGTTCATTTTTCTATGACCATTACGGGACAATTACTATCAACATTAATGTGAATTGTCTTATTGCTATTATTTTGTTATTAATATGATTAAGTAAATGATTATTCTTATAATTTTTAGGATCAATTTAATTTTTCAACTTATAGAATTTGAACGAGTGTAGTTCTATCAACAAGAGTTATGTAGTTATTAAAGTTTAAATAATTTAGAGTTCATAATCAACAAATTAGTAGCTGCAATTAGAATTGTAAATTTATTTATTAAATTTTTTATATGAAAATCTAGATTCTCGTTTGAAGTTTTAGCTCTTTTAAATACTTGTTCACTTGTCATAAACAAATCAAGTTCAAACATTGAAAAAGTTAAAACAAATCTGGCTTGAACAATGTATGAAAGCTCAAAACAAGCTTAAACCGAACATAAACAACTTATAATTATACCAAGCTCAAGCTCAAGCTCAATTACTTAATCAAGCTCAAGCCAAGCGTGGAGCTCTACTTGTTTACACCATAAAAGTCATTGATAGTCTATTTTAAAATTCTTTATTTGCAATAGAAGTTATAAATACAGCTAAAAGGTATGTAAATATAATACCAAAATTAATTAGGAGATTTCTAAAGAAAATTAATATTTTGCTAATATTAGAGAAATTAAGATAATTTGAGTTTAGTAGTATTGCCATAGCATTGTCTTTTAAAAATCATAAATTTAAAAATAAATAAATAAATAAAATAAGATAATATCATGCTAGAAGGTTATTTTAAAACAATATAATTACCTTCAGAGCTAAGCATTTCTGCAAATTGAAGATGACAATTGTTCTTCAAGTAAATCAACCCTTAACCTCAGATACAACAAATCAATTAACAGTAATTTGAAACCTTCACTCACCTTACGAGTAGTTGGTCCCTATGATCTATAAAAAAAGTTAATTTTATTTCAAAATTAGTATAATATAATAAATAATAATAATTAGTCCTAAATTACGCCATCTTAAAATATTAGGAGGCATTTACATGCATACCACACAATTCTTATATATTTATATATGTAAAATGAAAAATTACATATTTGCAAATATAACACTAAAAATGTTAAACACTAGAGCAAAAGCACAACTATCACTTACTTTTCAAAAGTGAGATACATCTTCCATGCATAACTACACAGAAAAAATATTGGATCGGGATTCCGCACGTAGAGTTACATGCAGAGTCCAATAAAATAACACATGAATAACACAGAATAATACAGGGGGAATATTCTCTTATGTTATCAGACCGATTTTTTTTTTATTTTTTTATGTACCTCCACGTGGCGTGATTTCATTGGACTCCGCACGTAACTCTACGTGCGGAGTCCTGATGCAATATTTCTGAATAACATATGGGGAATATTTCCTTGTATTATCGGACAAATTTTTTTTTTTTCCAGTCACTATCACCTGATGTGATTTCATTAGACTCTACACGCACCTCTACTTGCGGAGTCCTGATGCAATATTTTATCCGCAAGTAGAGTTGCGTGCAGAGTCTAATAAAAAATTTGCATCAGGACTCCACAAAGTTTTTGATTCTGAATAACATATGAGGAATATTTCCTTGTATTATCGGACAAATTTTATTTTTTTTCCAGTCACTATCACGTGGCGTGATTTCATTAGACTCTACACACACCTCTACTTGCGGAGTCCTGATGCAATATTTTATCCGCTAGTAGAGATGCGGGCAGTGTAACCCCAAAGCGTACTTAATATAAATATGGAAGTTGTAAGTGTTATACATGCAAATACATAATAATAATGAGGATGCATGCTAAGCAATACTAAAAAATACTCTGAGAAATGAGAAGAAATGGCTCAGCCTAGCAAATACAACAACAGCTTCACAGAATTGACAAATATTAATGTATTACTTTCACAAATGCCTAAGAAATAATTTCTATCAAATATAAAAAAAAATAATCTTCTTTAAATAATATATATATATATATATATATATTTGATGTCCCTCACATCAAACAACAAAACAAATTCCAACACCCTATTAAAAAAAATAAAATAAGAACAAAAAATTGCTATATAAAATGATTTCAGAGAGCACTTTGATCCCATATATGCAGGGTAAAATCATTATATAAATATATTATTTATATAATATAAAAGAATTTCAGTCTTTCCAGGTGAGGCCACAACGCCAAGAACAGTGCAGAAGCTCTTCCAATATATATATGTCTATACAAGCCTCATTTCAGGTTCCGCTTTAGCTCAAAATATTGCTGCAAAAAGTAATGAAGAGGTATGAGATACAAATCCTTTTCAACATAAAAAAAATAATAATAAACTAAAAAAGACCAAAACTCTTATTTTTAGTTTATATATATATATTTCTTAAAAGAATTTCAAACATATCACTTAATTCTTATATATTTACATATCTAACACATAAACTTCAATTTTTTACATACATGTCACCTTACCTATGCATGAAAAAGTGCATTTTTGTTTTCTTTTGTTTTGATGCATACATGTAGATCACACGGGTCTCTCTTTTGTACATCATAGATACATACATGTATAGTTTTCGTAACCTTTTGATTTTATTTTCATGCAAAATGCCAGTATTCACAAAAAAGTGCATTTTACTTCTAGTTATTTTTATGTGATATGAAAGGTTTGGGTGGTACAAATGTAAAAAACCAGAATTTACATGTTAAATATGTAAATACAAAGAAATCGGGTGGTACCTACGTAAATGCTTCATGCAAAAATGGGGGAAAAAGGAGAACATAGAAAGGGCTAAAGAGAAGAAAAGATGGGAGGAAGCAGTGGGGAGTCACCACCATTCAATACAGTAAACACAGACCCACCTGACTGCAAAGTTTTTGCTCCTTTCTTTACCCCACCACAGCAAGCATCAATGGAGGTAGGGTACAGACAGACACAAAATACAAACCAAATGATAGTAAAGAAGAACACTCTTATAATTACAAAGAATCAAACTTTTTTTCATTATAAAGATTATGGGTCTTTGATTAAGTACACCATTCAGATCATTACTGTTGTCTGACAGTAATTGGCTCTGTTCTATTTGGGGCAATTACATATATACCATCCAAATCTTATGTATTTACATATCTAACACCTAAACCTTGATTTTTACATACATGCCACCTTACCTATGGCAGAAGAGGTCTATTTTAATATTTAAAAGTTAAAAATAGTGGTATATTTGATGTGGAAGAGGTCTATTTTAGTATTTAAAAGTTAAAAATAGTGGTATATTTGATGTGATACAAATGTGAAAAGTAAAATTGTGTTAGATATGTAAGTACATAGGGATTGGGCGTTATGCATGTAAATGACCCTTCTTTTTATTGCTAGCTTTGAGATGCATTTCAAGCAGAAAACTGAATTTTCTGATCAGACTGACTTTAGGTTTGGTTGTATTTTGATTTATAATCTTCAATTTCATGATTACAGGTGTACACCCAAAAATTTTCTGCACGAATCTCGAGATAATTTATCAGTTCAAATCAAAAAGTAAATGATGAGAATCCCCTCAAACGAAAAAAAAACAAGGCCTCATGAATCTGACCGGCTGAAGACCACCAGCCAACCGAAGGTCTGACTACAGATCAAAGGTCAGATAAACAACCAAAGGACCACCTAGGCCAACAAGAGACAATCATCCGCGCCAAGGATCGGCCTCTCCCATTCTCTCTTGTACCAGCCACTTCCAATATATAAAATGCTCATAGAGCCCGAGAATACCACAATTTGCCCCAAAAAGGCAAGTGTTGCGTACTCTTTCCTCTCTCCCTCTCCGTCTCTCTCTACCTCTCCCTCACGGTTCCCACCACAAGATAGATCAAAATTCAACATCAAGAGATTGTGATTTATAATAGAAAATTTATATGGGAATTAAACTTCATTGATTTCTCTTATAATTTAATTGTCCATCAAATATCTGATAAATTCAACGATAACAGAACATCATATAAAAGTCCCTCGTGTTTTACAAATCAAAACAATCTAATGCTTAAAAGAGATCATCAACAACCTATAACTTTGGTTAAAATTCATTTAAAACTCAATATTACTTGAAATCATAATTTTATCTCTCCCAATGTAATTAGAACAGTTCCATATGAAATTAGATGCAACCGATAAATGGCCAAACAATTGTAAATTTTATTTAAATCATGCAGGCCACCGGTTTTAATGGTTGATTAATAAAGGGAAATTTGCTTAGATGCCACTCAATTCTTATGTATTTACATATCTAACATATAAACTTACAAATAAATATATATGTGTGTGTGTGTGTGTGTGTGTGTGTGTGTGTGTGTGTGTGTGTGTGTGTGTGTGTGTGTGTGTGTGTGTGTGTGTGTGTGTGTGTGTGTGTGTGTGTGTGTGTGTGTGTGTGTGTGTGTGTGTGTGTGTGTGTGTGTGTGTGTGTGTGTGTCACCTTACCTATATATAAAAATGTGTTTTCACCTTTTAGAACTTGAAAATACTTGTATTTTTTATGTGATATTGGGCGGTAAAAATGTAAAAAAAAAATGTTTAGGTGTAGGATATGTAAATGTACATGAATTGAGTGGTATGCATGCAATGCCCCTTAAGAAATATATAAATGAACCTTGCACATGAACTCAACTTTTACATTCAAATAATGAATGGGCATTAATAGCAATCCTAGATACCTATATCAATCAAAACACAATTGTTTATTTTTTTGTAAATCCATGTTTAACTGGTTTGTAACAATACTTGTAGCACTAATTATCTCATTTTTTATACAGTAAATCAACCAGGGGTACAAAATACTAATTTTATGATCTTAAGCACTCTATTAGAATACAAGGACAGGGGCCACAACACCACCATAATACCACAAATCCGCACATACTTTATCCGCACCTGATATTTCCTCCTATAAGAAAGGACTAATTGCTTAGCGATAAATTTCCATAAAAACAAAAAAAAAAATTCCAATTAGCAAAAAAATATAAAAAATAATTGCATAAGTTGAAGTTCTAGAGACAGCAGACAGCACAACAATCTTATCTAATTGATATACATACATACATATAGATGTTGGGGCATTTACATAAAGCTAAATTTTGCTTTTTTCCATCATTACCATCCAAATATTTCACATCACATTAAATATATCTCTATTCTAACTTTTAAAAAAAGTGAAATACACATTTTTCATGGGTGGAATGTGTAAAAATTACAGTTTTAGGTATGAAGAACATTAGTCTAAATCATCTCTTTTCTTCCCAACATAAATCAGACCACACTCATTAAACTCTCTTCAATTCACCCCAAAATCTAAAAAATTATTTTCAAAATTGTCAATATCAGTAATTTATACCAAGTTTATCAAGTACAGCAAGAGTAATAAGATTCATATAAGTCAGATAAATTATCAAATTTGTCAATATCAGTAAACAATTCCTGAGCAATTATGGGAAAACAAAAGTAAGATTAAGCGTTAAACTCACCATTGAAGAAATCGATATCACACTTCGGCAGCGGCCGCCCGCTGCCAATCTGATTCAGACTGAACGCAGCACACTTCACTCGAATCGGGATCTTGGGCGTAGACTTACCGCTAATCACAAACCCCACCTTCATCCTCATCTCCACCGTAAATCGAATTTCCCTGCTCTTATACATCGCCTTCAACCTCTCCCCCACCGAATCATCCACAAGCACCCCCTTTGCCGCCGCCGTAACCCTAACCGCCGTCGAGTTCTTTCTCGCCAGCGTAAACCCCGCCGCCGATCCCGTACCCAAATCCACCTCCCCGTCATCATCAACCAACGCCACCTTCCCGTTAGCCGCGCGGCACGATAACCCTAGCTTCGAATTAGGGTTATCCGTCTGGATCTTAACAATCGCTGTAGCGTCAAGAAACGTGCCGTCGGATTTCGAAGTTATCTTGAAGACGGGCACCGTCACATTCTCGACGCGGAATGAGGGGAGGTGAGGATGGAACCAGAGATAGCTGAATCCAATGAAAGCTGTGAGAAGGAAGATAAGAACGATGATGAGGAGGAAGATGCAGCAGCAGAGACGGCAACAGCAAGATCGACCGGTCCGATGCCGCCGGGAAGGTTTTCCCGGATGCCGCAACGCCGGCGGAATCTGCGGCTTCTTCGTTGCTGGCCTCGCCGCAGCAGGTACCGACGGGTCCCTGTAGCCTGGTGGCTTCTGCAACGCTTGTTTTCCTACATCCCCCATTGCTCTATCTCACTCTCTTGCTCTTTCTCTTTCTCTTTCTCTGTCCCTCTCTGAATGGGGGATTTTGGTATGAAGGAGAAGTAGGGAAAAAAAAGGGGAAAAGATTGGGGGGGAATGGAAATGAGGAAGAAGGAAGAAGAATGAAGGAAGACGGAGATGGGTGCGTTGTCTTGCGGGTAACTGGTTTTAGGGAAAGTAGCTCGCGGTTGGTGTAATGATCTAACGGAGGATATGGATTGCCAGTGTGGCGACGGGTTGTTATCAGTATTCTGGCGGTGCAGTGAGAGGAATGGAGGGGAACAGAAGAGGAGGAGAACGGCATGAGGTTCGAGCTGGGAAGATTTAAATGGGCCGGACTTCAGGCTCACAGCTTGGGATGGATGACGTGGCAATATGGTATTGGTGACGCTGGCCCACCAGCAGACATGTTAGTTTGTCGGATATTAAGTGTTTTTTTAAATAATTTTGGAATATTAAAAAAAAAATTCTCCAAAATTATAGGGTCGTCACAAATAGGGGTGTAAACAAGCTCATTTATAGAGCTCATTTATATTTCAAGCACAAAAAGTGTGTTCGTGTTTGACTCGTTAAGTTAGCGAACAAATCGAATACGAACTTCTTAACGAGCCTAACGGTTAAGAATTAGAGCAATATTTAAAAATTATTGTTTATATTAAAATATCGATTAAGAATTAGAGCAATATTTAAAAATTATTATTTATATTAAAACATCATTGAATTTAATTTAATAATTTTAATTCTATTTTCTTAATTAATACTTTAATTGATTATAAATCTTTATAGTTTTGTAGTCAGTTAATTTTTTTTAAAAATACTATTCATGAAATATATATATATATAAAATTAGTAGTATTTCGAGCGAAAACGAGTCGAACACGAACGACAAATCTTTGTTCGTGTTGTTTTTGTTCGGCTCGTTAACTTAGCGAACGAGCCAAACACGAGTTTCTTAACGAGTCGAACACGACCCGTTCGTGAACAAGGAGCAGTTTTGACAGCCCTAGTTATAAATCAAGATACTAATTTAATTCCACCATTTATGAGGAAAATGGTATTATATCATATTGTATGATAAGCTTTAATAAAAAAAAATAAATTATCATTATTACATATAAATTTCGAAATTAATATTTTTCATAAAAAATACCGACCGCATGTTGTGCTATACAAATATCTCATGAATATGCCGTTTTTGATAGAACAGGGGGGAGGCGATTAAGCAATCAGTCGGTGAATATATTTGATAATAGTTTAATTATACATTTGAGTGCTCTATAGATCATGGCTTACAACTCATAATATAAAAATATAAATATTTATTTTTTATTTTTATTTTGCTTTGTGGCTCTTTTTATTTTTTTAATAAATTATATTTAAAGCTTACTCAATCATGCTGATTTATGTATTATCATTGGTATATATTTTCATGATAATTGCTTTCTTTGTACCATTCATGTGCATGTATGTTCATATCTGAATTTGGATATGCTATACATGAACAATAGATTGTAAATGTGATGCAGGGTGTAATTTTTATAATCACAAAATATCATATTAAAAGCAGCATTCATTATCATATTTTAATGGTCAAATTCATCTTTTATGTGATTTTATCTGTTGATTGTGGATTGGTCCAATCATTTGAGAGAGTGATTAATAGCATTAATTGTGGTACATGAAAATGATTAATTAGTGAGTCATTTCATGTCAAAAATATCATAAAGATTTTTAGAAAGTCCATTCATTTGAATTTAATAAATCCTTTCATTCGAGCTTTATAACCTTCATTTCTTTCATTACCAATGGTTAATGTTTGTCAATTAAAATTAGATAGAATATTACCACACACAAAAATTGGGCAAAACAACATTAATTAGCAATAACTATAAAAATTAGGAAGAAAATAATACTATGATTTAGCATATTTAATCGTTGCTATACAATCAATAAATCATAGAAACTATCCTAAAAATTTGCTTAAAAAAAGTGGTGTTGATGAACTATAAAAAACTAAAATTTTATCTAATGAAACTGAGAGTGCTAAAAAGACGCTTGATGTGAGACCACAAGCTTCTTCCTAAAGACTTGAGTCGAGTAAATAGACTCCACCTACGAGTTGAAGAGCTAACGATACAGTCATTCTTCTTTTCAAAGAAGACTCCTTCGCCGATCTCATTGCTCACTGTCGCTAACTTTTGCTCATCAATAGCATTGGTATTCGTAGAAGATGAGGCATCGGTGATGTAAAAAGAGCCAACTATTAATCGTTCTCCTTGGCAAACTTCATGTTCTTGAGTGACAAGTTGTTCTCTTTTAATGTCCTACTCACATTAGAGAGTAGATCATGGCGGTCAGAAGTAAGCATCTCCATTTTTAGCCCCTACGCTCAATAACAAACATATATAAATATATATTCAACATGCAAAAAATAACATATTTCTATTGATCTAAAGTTATAAAAAAATCATAAATACTCGAGATATTCTTCGTTCGACGGCAGCTACCAAACGTTGAAAAGTGTTATGTTTCTCCATCTCACTGAGAATTGTGGACCCATTCGTGTGCCTCACAAAATATTCCTGCATTGAAAAAAAATGTAAAAGATAAATTCACAGATATAATTTACAATTTAAGTGTTACAAAAATATTAATCATGCGCACAGGAACTATCACATCATCTTCAGAGCAAAT